TATATACACACACACACACATACATACATACATACACTAAAATAAACTACTTACTACTTGTACTACTATTCCTACTTTATAGTTTTTCACTTATCACGGGTATTCAGGGTACGGATCCCCCACGATAAACGAGGGACTACTGTATAACAGCGACAATATTCAAGTTCCTGCTAAATCCGCTCGGTCTCCTCCCACAGAAACAGTTAAGACTCCTCCCATTGCCCCAGCAAAAAACCCTCCCACAAAACCAGTTTAAACTCCTCCTACAGAATCAACACAGACTCCTCCCACCTTCTCGTGTTTTTCGGGTCATTGTTCCCCTGTTGATGGACAAGGCCTTGTAGAGGAAACCCGAGTGAAGGACGGGCTGCATAATCTCATCGTAGACACTGGGATCTGAAGGACAAACACAGTCCAAGTTGGACAAGACCTTCTTAAGTCCAAACAAGACTACCTGCAGGACTCAGCTTCAAGTCCATACAAGAACACTCAGCAGGACTCAGAACTGAGTCCAGACATGACTCCCTGCAGAACTCCTTAACATACTGCAAGTCCTGAACCCAGCCATTTAAGCTGATATTATAAAAATACATGATATTATTTTTTAAAAACACTGTAGACAAGCACCTTTCCTCACCTGTGGAGCTGAGGTAGTCCAGGTGTTTGAGTCCTTGCTGGGAGTCGTCTGATTGGTTGGCGAGGCGCACTGACTCCGCCTCTAAGAAAATCTGAGTGACAGTTTTCAGCAGAGTCTGTTCAGAGACGGCGGCACACAGAACCTGCAGGAGTCATAGGTTTGATACCACTGAGTGTGTTTGATCTGCTGCTGATGGCCCAGTGCATGCTGGGAGAGCGACCAGGTAGATTTGAATCAAACCTTTAGCAGCTCCTCTTGACTGCTGAACGCCGGGTGGGTCAGTCGAAACCGACCGTCTCTGTACTTCTGGGTGATGAAGTCCCGCCTCTGTTCAGGCGAGGCATCACAGTCCAGCTCCTCGGACTCAGACAGGCGGGCCGCCCAGAAATCGTTGGCCCGATCGTTCCCCAGCATGATGAAAAGCTGGCAAACAAAAAACAAACAAATAAATAAACAGTCAATATTTATTTTTAGTTTCACCCGTCCCCCCCATTGAGTCTCACCTGGACGATCTCGTTGCTCCACACGCTGGTGTCCAATTTCAGACTCTGAACTTTGGAGACCATTGTCCCCAGACTTCTGTGCTGCCCTGCGCGCGCGCACACACACACACAACTTGTTTACATCACTGTGCTTTTCCTTCATCCCTTACAAACAAACAAGTCAGATTTTCTGTTCTCAAACCAGTGCAATCTGAGCGTGCACACAGTTCCACCTGCAGTGATTCATGTCTGTGCACGTACTCAGAGTCTGTCTCACCTGTTCAGGTTGTTAAATGACAGACAGCAGCAGGGTTCAGAGCTGGCTGTTGGTGGTTACCACAGTAACCTGGCTGGGTATGTGCTCTGACTTGTTGGTAGAATTATTGTTTCTCTGTTTGCGCTGGTTGTTGTGTTACTGTTGGTACTACTGTTGGTACTACTGTTGGTACTACTATTGGTA